TCTGCTCATCCAGGGCGTACATCTCGATCTCTAAACTACTCATGGCTGCAAGCTTGTGGCACTCTCGCACGAAGTGCATGCCGAAAGACAAGCGACCCATACGTTTAAAGTTGGTATGGATAGTGTTGTTGTACGGATAAGAGAACGGAACAGTGTTTGATACTACGATAAAATGAGAGAGCTTTCAATACGGTCTTCAGATTTTCTTTTGGAGCACTACTTCGACATGAAAAATACATAATGTAACAAAATTAACTAGCATGAAACCACATAGGATGACAGACATTTGCTCATACGTTTGTGCCTTCGACAAAGATGGCAAACAATGCTGATACATGTCCGCTTACCTTCCGCAATGTTTAAGATACTGCATGATCCTGTACGTGACACAGTGCGATTGTTTATCGCAGCACACAGTTGTCTTGCCAGTCACGACAACAAAAAACATATGGATAATGCTGACCATAATAAACCACTTGCTGAATACGTCGTGTTTGCCTCATGTTGCGGGTAATCTAGCCAAGATTTTTGGGGGTTGACATAGACTATCCATTCATTAACCATGCCTTTTCAACTTTGCCCACGATAGCGTGCTGCATCAGGATGGATAACTAGATTATATATACCTTTATGGAATGACTACTCTATAAAGTATGACCAACTCGAACATGAGCTCAAAGCGGCTTGCTCACTCATTACTCATTCTTACATTTACGGTCTCGAGCTCATATTGAAGCCAAGTCCAATACCAATCTCTTTTTTCGTTTCATCGGACCATCTTTCTAAGCAGCCATTCCAGCCATGTTCAACAGTGGCAAGATCTTCGCTGTGTGCACCGCCGTCGTGGCCGTTTCCAGTAGCGTATATGCTGAGAAGGAAGCTGCTGAGACCTTTGGTGGTTTACATGGTTTCCACGGCGTGGGTATGGGCGTAGGAGTCCCGGGTATCGCTGGTGTCGGAGTTGGTGTGCCAGGCCTTCTCGGTGTCGGGTATGGTGTTGGCGTTAATGGCGTTGGGGTCGGTGTCGGCGTTCCGGGTGTTGCTGTCGTTGATAATGGTGCTGGAGACGGCTACTATACGGCTAACAGAGGTGGTGCCAGCGCCGGTGCGTCAGCTAACGCCGGTGCTTCAGCAAGTGCCGGTGCCGGTGCCACTGCGAGTGCCAGTGCAAGTGCTTCTGCAAAGGCCGGAGCTGGTGCCACTGATGGGTACCGCAAGCTTCGGTCGGCGGCGTGAAATGGTTAAATATATTGTATCGGCCGAATATGTCGTCCTTTTAACTTGCCGTGTTCATGTTGCCGAATACAAGTAGTCTAGTGTACGCTTCCAGTTTAAACGAAAGTAAAAGGTTGTGTTGTCGAATATGTGCTATTACTTGTTGTACATGTAGACTGGAACTGTAGCCAGGTAAACGTATGCAACGATTGCATTGAAACTACATGTGGGGTCTCCTATATTAACCCTAAGAAATGTACTAGGCCCTTTCCATCGTATGAGCTTCCAAGAGTAGTAGTTGCAACACCGTCGGCAGCAGCACAATGCAAAACTGTCCCTCATTTAGCGACATGATCGAACGGTACGCCACATGCAAATCCGGTTGTTCGTACATTTCGGAACTGTATGCGCAAAGATAGATTGTTAGTGTGCAGACAGATAGTTCATCCTTTACGCCAGGCAATCAAAGCACTCATGCACTCGCTGTCTTGTAGCAGTCACCGGCTACCCGTACTCACGAAAACACTACTAGATCAGAAATGTGCAACGCCTACAAGATACCTGTATCCGTCGAATCGGTCGTAAATCGTATTCAACCTGCCTGCAATCGTGGAGAAACAAGACCTGCAAAAGTCACAACTAAAGCAAGCTCGCTATCAGAAAGCCATTCACGTATCAGCATAGTCGTCATCTACATGTTGTATACTTCAAGTCGAAAAGACGCTAGGATATTCAAAAAACAAACAGAATATTCGTGTTTGATTCTTTGAATCGTACAAAACAGAACTATTTCGTGTTGTTTTCATGTCAGGCCCGCAAACACGTAGTCTTACAACAGAGTAGCTTCTTTTGTACAAGAAATGTGCTAAAACTTGATAGGCGGACTCTGCTCATCCAGGGCGTACATCTCGATCTCTAAACTACTCATGGCTGCAAGCTTGTGGCACTCTCGCACGAAGTGCATGCCGAAAGACAAGCGACCCATACGTTTAAAGTTGGTATGGATAGTGTTGTTGTACGGATAAGAGAACGGAACAGTGTTTGATACTACGATAAAATGAGAGAGCTTTCAATACGGTCTTCAGATTTTCTTTTGGAGCACCACTTCGACATGAAAAATACATAATGTAACAAAATTAACTAGCATGAAACCACATAGGATGACCGACATTTGCTCATACGTTTGTGCCTTCGACAAAGATGGCAAACAATGCTGATACATGTCCGCTTACCTTCCGCAATGTTTAAGATACTGCATGATCCTGTACGTGACACAGTGCGATTGTTTATCGCAGCACACAGTTGTCTTGCCAGTCACGACAACAAAAAACATATGGATAATGCTGACCATAATAAACCACTTGCTGAATACGTCGTGTTTGCCTCATGTTGCGGGTAATCTAGCCAAGATTTTTGGGGGTTGACATAGACTATCCATTCATTAACCATGCCTTTTCAACTTTGCCCACGATAGCGTGCTGCATCAGGATGGATAACTAGATTATATATACCTTTATGGAATGACTACTCTATAAAGTATGACCAACTCGAACATGAGCTCAAAGTGGCTTGCTCACTCATTACTCATTCTTACATTTACGGTCTCGAGCTCATATTGAAGCCAAGTCCAATACCAATCTCTTTTTTCGTTTCATCGGACCATCTTTCTAAGCAGCCATTCCAGCCATGTTCAACAGTGGCAAGATCTTCGCTGTGTGCACCGCCGTCGTGGCCGTTTCCAGTAGCGTATATGCTGAGAAGGAAGCTGCTGAGACCTTTGGTGGTTTACATGGTTTCCACGGCGTGGGTATGGGCGTAGGAGTCCCGGGTATCGCTGGTGTCGGAGTTGGTGTGCCAGGCCTTCTCGGTGTCGGGTATGGTGTTGGCGTTAATGGCGTTGGGGTCGGTGTCGGCGTTCCGGGTGTTGCTGTCGTTGATAATGGTGCTGGAGACGGCTACTATACGGCTAACAGAGGTGGTGCCAGCGCCGGTGCGTCAGCTAACGCCGGTGCTTCAGCAAGTGCCGGTGCCGGTGCCACTGCGAGTGCCAGTGCAAGTGCTTCTGCAAAGGCCGGAGCTGGTGCCACTGATGGGTACCGCAAGCTTCGGTCGGCGGCGTGAAATGGTTAAATATATTGTATCGGCCGAATATGTCGTCCTTTTAACTTGCCGTGTTCATGTTGCCGAATACAAGTAGTCTAGTGTACGCTTCCAGTTTAAACGAAAGTAAAAGGTTGTGTTGTCGAATATGTGCTATTACTTGTTGTACATGTAGACTGGAACTGTAGCCAGGTAAACGTATGCAACGATTGCATTGAAACTACATGTGGGGTCTCCTATATTAACCCTAAGAAATGTACTAGGCCCTTTCCATCGTATGAGCTTCCAAGAGTAGTAGTTGCAACACCGTCGGCAGCAGCACAATGCAAAACTGTTCCTCATTTAGCGACATGATCGAACGGTACGCCACATGCAAATCCGGTTGTTCGTACATTTCGGAACTGTATGCGCAAAGATAGATTGTTAGTGTGCAGACAGATAGTTCATCCTTTACGCCAGGCAATCAAAGCACTCATGCACTCGCTGTCTTGTAGCAGTCACCGGCTACCCGTACTCACGAAAACACTACTAGATCAGAAATGTGCAACGCCTACAAGATACCTGTATCCGTCGAATCGGTCGTAAATCGTATTCAACCTGCCTGCAATCGTGGAAAAACAAGACCTGCACAAGTCACAACTAAAGCAAGCTCGCTATCAGAAAGCCATTCACGTATCAGCATAGTCGTCATCTACATGTTGTATACTTCAAGTCGAAAAGACGCTAGGATATTCAAAAAACAAACAGAATATTCGTGTTTGATTCTTTGAATCGTACAAAACAGAACTATTTCGTGTTGTTTTCATGTCAGGCCCGCAAACACGTAGTCTTACAACAGAGTAGCTTCTTTTGTACAAGAAATGTGCTAAAACTTGATAGGCGGACTCTGCTCATCCAGGGCGTACATCTCGATCTCTAAACTACTCATGGCTGCAAGCTTGTGGCACTCTCGCACGAAGTGCATGCCGAAAGACAAGCGACCCATACGTTTAAAGTTGGTATGGATAGTGTTGTTGTACGGATAAGAGAACGGAACAGTGTTTGATACTACGATAAAATGAGAGAGCTTTCAATACGGTCTTCAGATTTTCTTTTGGAGCACTACTTCGACATGAAAATACATAATGTAACAAAATTAACTAGCATGAAACCACATAGGATGACCGACATTTGCTCATACGTTTGTGCCTTCGACAAAGATGGCAAACAATGCTGATACATGTCCGCTTACCTTCCGCAATGTTTAAGATACTGCATGATCCTGTACGTGACACAGTGCGATTGTTTATCGCAGCACACAGTTGTCTTGCCAGTCACGACAACAAAAAACATATGGATAATGCTGACCATAATAAACCACTTGCTGAATACGTCGTGTTTGCCTCATGTTGCGGGTAATCTAGCCAAGATTTTTGGGGGTTGACATAGACTATCCATTCATTAACCATGCCTTTTCAACTTTGCCCACGATAGCGTGCTGCATCAGGATGGATAACTAGATTATATATGCCTTTATGGAATGACTACTCTATAAAGTATGACCAACTCGAACATGAGCTCAAAGCGGCTTGCTCACTCATTACTCATTCTTACATTTACGGTCTCGAGCTCATATTGAAGCCAAGTCCAATACCAATCTCTTTTTTCGTTTCATCGGACCATCTTTCTAAGCAGCCATTCCAGCCATGTTCAACAGTGGCAAGATCTTCGCTGTGTGCACCGCCGTCGTGGCCGTTTCCAGTAGCGTATATGCTGAGAAGGAAGCTGCTGAGACCTTTGGTGGTTTACATGGTTTCCACGGCGTGGGTATGGGCGTAGGAGTCCCGGGTATCGCTGGTGTCGGAGTTGGTGTGCCAGGCCTTCTCGGTGTCGGGTATGGTGTTGGCGTTAATGGCGTTGGGGTCGGTGTCGGCGTTCCGGGTGTTGCTGTCGTTGATAATGGTGCTGGAGACGGCTACTATACGGCTGGGACCGAAGGACCAACGCCTATCGACTGAGGACCGATGTCCATTAATGCAGGACCAAGGTCAACCTTTGGGGACAGGGGCCGAAGGTCCACCGCCCGAAGGGCCAAGTATTACCTAAATGAAAGACTGAGGTCTATTAATCATAGATCAGGTTTTACTTTGGAAGACCGGGGTCCACCACGCGGAACTAGGGTCAACTTCGAAATGACCGGGGTCTACTGCGAAGACCGAGGTCTACCAACGAGGGTCCAGGGATAACCTCGAAAGACTGGTGGTACCTTGAACGACAAAGGTTTATTAATAATGGATCAGGATTCCCTTCTTTTAAAGAAGACCCTGGTCTATCATTGGTAGACTTCGTTTTTTTCATAGAGGTAGACCTTTTTGCACTTCGGTCGGGGGACACTCGGCCACTGTCCGCAAAAGTCGACCTTGGTCCTGCAAACAGGGACTCGGTCCCTAGACCCCTGGGCCTCCCGGTCACTCGGCCTATCGGCCTCCCGACCCCTCGGTCGATATACCTTAGCCAAGAAGAATCAAGAATTAGGTCTGGGAAGTAAAGATCGAGTAGAGAAGTTCAAAGATAGGACCATATTAAATACTACTCATTTTGCAATCTACATAGCACGCCTCCGTCGTGCTTCCGAGGTACTTACGAAGTCTACTTACCTGTTCCAGGAAGGAATAAATTTTGGCTTCCCGTTTAACACAGGTATGTGGTAAGGCCCAAGTGCGAATACAGCCCCAAAAATAGTCGTCCTGTGGGTTTGTCTGAGTAGCACCCCCCCAATTTAACCTGCTATCGAAAGCGGTCTCCCTACCCTAGTAGTTCGGGAGCAAGTAAAGGCCAGGCGGTAAACACCCCTGAGATATAAAGGAAAACAACAGGGTTGAGAATCACCAACCTTGAAGGACCAAGGTCTACCCACTATAAACTTTGCTTGACCATCCAGGACCCTCGACTTCGGCCTCTACTACATATGATTTTGCATAGCTTCGAAGCGATTCCTCCTTGTCTCCTTGCGTTTGACCCACTCCGACGTTGATTAATGACCGGGGTCATCAACAGTTCCACGTGTAACAACTCTTGGCTCGGCGTCGTCACCTGGGTCATACATACCCAATGAAAGGTGAAGTGGAGGGGTTACCCCCCGTCGTATGACTCGTGGGAGTATGAGGTACCCCTCTGGCAGGATTGATCTGACGCCTTTGACGCTTTTGACCAGGACGGTCAGAAAGGACGACATCTGTCGTCGGACGCTCCCTGGCACTAGGTGCTGTGGAAGTAGGGTCAGTAAGCTGGCTTCGCCTCTGACCTTCAGAAGAAGCCAATGTTGGTACGTCAGACGCAGCGACAGCGAGGACTGTTGCAGGTGCACGGCATACAGCCACATGGCGACCAGGCTTACGACAGTGGAAGCAACTAGCCGTTTCGGTGCTACAGGCTTCCGATATCCGCGACTCTGAGCACGCCGAGAGTATGTGTCGTGCATAATCGCGTCCATTCCGGAAGCATATTTCCACGACAAGTTCTGTTTTTGACGACGATCTCCGAAGGCTTATCCTTCATAAGTATCATGATATTGCGTCGAGCGGTCATTTGGGTCGCGAGAGGACATATCTTGCGCTGTCTCGAGACTTTTATTGGCCCCATATGTACAAGTTAGTACATAAGTGGGCTTGCTCTTGTGAGGTTTGCCAGCGTGTGCAGCCAGCTCCGTCGTTACAGGCGCGCCTTTGTCCGCTACCGATCGCTACGGAGGTTTGGAACTCCGTGAGCATGGATTTCGTGTTTGGTTTACCCGCCGATGCGCAGGGGCGAACTGGCGGCTTGGTGATCGTTGACAGGCTTGGTAAGATTGTGCATCTTTCACCTGTTGTGGCGTCCATCACTGCGGAGGAGACAGCGTATCTCTTCATCGATATGGTATTTCGACATCATGGCATGCCTGCCACGATTGTTTTAAATCGAGATACTTGCTTCATTACTGCGTTTTGGTCTCGGCTATTCGAGATAAGCGGCACCCGCCTGATATTGTCTACAGGTGCCCACCCTGAGACGGATGATCAGACTGAGCGGGTCAATCGTGTCTTTTAGGATGTGTTGCGTAGCTACGCTACTTCTCTCACGTCATAGAGTTCTTTTCCTCCCATGGCCGAGTTTGTACATAATTAAGTGGTCCACGCTTCGACAGGGTTAAAAACCTTCTTCATGAACAACGCGCGTCATCCCCTTTTCCTGTTCTTCTGGGATTGATCGATTGTTCTGCTCTTGTTGGGGGAGGGACATCAGTTGACTTAATGTCGACGGCGTCTTACTAAACAATTCTCGGCGACTCACTCAATGTTGCTGATGCCCAGCGCAAGATTACTTCACCTATCATAGGCGACGCAACTCAGACGCCAATAATACAACGTCCAGCGAATCAATTTTCGTCGCCTGGTGCGATATCCGACGTTGCTGATTCCCACCCCAAATATAACAATGGCATACTTCATGGCAAGTAGCTCCTTATCATGAACTGGATAGTTCTTCTCTGCAGCTTTCAGCTGGCGAGACACAAACGCGATGACGCGCTCTCAACCCTCCGAGTCAACTTGCAAAAGTGCACTGACAATGGCAAAGTTTGAAGCGTCACATACGACGCTAAACGGGCGGAGATCAGGATCAGGCAGAGCCAGAATTGGCGCCTAAAGAAGACTCTCCTTAATGGCTTTAAAAAAAGCCTCGTGGTGCTCGGTGTTCCAACACCATTCAACTTATTTTTGAGGAGATTCGACAAAGGCCTAGCCGCTTCCGCATAGTTGTGGCTATACTTGTGCAAGTAATTTGCCAAGCCTAACCACTTGCGTAGGTCCTTCTGGTTCCTCGGAACCGGCCAATCTACTATAGCTTTGACCGTAACAGGGTCTGCCCGGATTCCTCGCTTCCCATTGAAGCATCCCAAAAAGGGAATCTCTTCCGCGACGAAGATGCATTTGTCAAATTTGGAATATAAATTCTGCATGCTCATACAATTAAGCACAGCTCGCAGGTGCTCGATGTGATTCTCCACATCAATCTTTCCATTTTCGGCTCGACTATGGACGAATATATCGTCAAAGTATGTCGGTGCATACGCCCTATGGGGCCGAAACAACTGCGTTACTAGACGATTGAACGTTACAAGTGCGTTAGACAACCCTTAGGACATCACTAACCACTCCAGAGCATGCCACTCGGAGTGCTGACCACTGTCGGCGGGATATCACTAGCTCGCATGAGCATTTGGTAATATCCATCGACTAAGTCGAGGGCATTGTACATTGTACATCCCTCCATATTGTTCTGAAGAACATCCTTGCAATGAATCGGTGTTTGAGCCGGGATAGTGGTTGCATACAACTTATTATAAGCATGCACGATTCGCTACTTCCCATTAGGCTTTCTCACACAAAACGTAGGCGTAAAGTCAGGAGACTGACTCTCACGCACCATGCCAGCCGCGTGCTTTGCACGAAAGGACTCGTAAATGACGTCACATTGTTCTCGTAGCAGCGGCCACTGTCGCGTCACAAAATATTTGGTTCCTAAAACCAAGTCAATCTCATGACGTACACCTCTATCCGGAGGTAACCTAGTAGGAGATTCTCTGGAGGCAACATCACCATATTCCTTCAACAAAGGAAAATAAGGATCCGATGGTTCCTTCAGGATCTGTGATCCACTACGCGCATACAGCGCATTCTTGGTATCTTCAAGAACTGCTTCATTCAAAAGCGATGAGGCGTTTAACGCCTCCTCAGGTCGTATAACGACCACTTCGGCGATGCCTCCTGCCAGTAAGGCAACGCCAAACTCGGCAAAGGACAACTCGACCAGCTTTAACATAGCACTTTTTGCGGGCATTGCTGAAAGAGCCACCGGCTCTTCAACTTCCCCCAGTCAATCCATTGACAAGTGTATATAGCTGTTCGCTATCACCGTCACTCACGATATCATCATCTCTACTCATGACACTCTCAGCATCCGACGCCTCAGCGTCAACAGGTGTACACACCTCAAAGTTAAAGACCACTTCTTTTAAGGACTGCACCCCACCCTCTTGGGTCAATGCCTCGTCGTGAGGTGTTCTCACCTCGTTTTCCTCAAAGACAACCGTCATTCTTGACTTCACCCGACCGTCTTGGACCAGTACCTCTTCGTTAGGTGCTTGCACCTCGTTATCCTCAAAGACAACCGTCATTCTTGACTTCACCCGACCCTCTTGGGCCAGCACCTTGTTGCTAGGTGCATGCAACTCGTTATCCTCAAAGATAACATCCATTGATGACTTCACTCGACCCTCCAGGGTCAGTCCCTCGTCCCTCATGTCACTTGGATTCATGTTCTGGCATATTGGCTTGCAGCCACTAACACCATTTACGGTGGATAATACTGTTAACAAAATTCTCATGATACATGTCATGTGCCATCTAGTGGATCAACAACACTATCGGCAGTCATTGGGCCTCACCCAGGACTATTGTCGCCGACACTTACAGTGTCTACAAAGTTGGATATTCCGACATCCAACATATTGATCGACTCGGTCCAATATCCGCGCCAAAATCGCTTTTGTTTCCTAGCAGAGGTGGGTTCATGACTCTCCAGAGCCTCACCAGGAGCAATGCGCGTTGCGCCTAAGGTCTTCGACCTCCAATCAATACATTGGGTCATTAGGCTGTAGCTATGCCATGCCTAGGATGAGACCATACCTCGCATCCAGGTCTTAGACCAAACAGCGTTCCATGCTGTTAAAGTCCAAGAACTTTAAATTTAACTCCATCGAGACTTGGGTACTGTAACACGCGTACCAATCGCGAAGCGAACTGTGACTGTGTCACTCTCACGCTCTACAAGCGCTTCAGCATACTGCTGACTACCTTCCACGGTGACACGGCGCACATAATTGGCCGATGCCCCCGAATCGATCAAAATGATCCATGGCTTCTCAAAGCCCTTAATCGTCCCTTCGACGACTACCACGTGGCTCTCTGTCACAATGCGACCCTTCGTATTTTTGGTACGGTCACATCAAGCCTACTCTTGTACTTAAGGTACAGCCACACCCCATTGTTGTAGCAGGTGTGTATGCAAATACACACCTTCGTGTAACCTGGCTTCATTGCGCGGTGAAGTTTTGGCTCGTTGCAGAGACAAGTTATAGCTGTCATGAAAAATATACAGAGTTGTAAAAATTTATTCTGTTTCGTATTGCAATGACTTGAATGTCAGTGTGAGCCGCAGGATCCATAGCAACAGTGTTTCCATCTCTATATCCTGTGTTTCTGTATTATTATAAATGAAAAAGTGATGAACGAATTGTCCGCAAACGCAGCAAAACGATTTAGAGTTTGTTGTTTTAGGAAGGGACAAGAGAAGACGACTAACGGGTTTAGCTCCTTTAAACGGCAAAGCGTAACATTATTATGAGAAATGGAACGCTAATACCAACAAATTAGTTCCTACGCGGCCACACCCAAGATTCAGCCAATGCAATAGGCACTAGTGTAAATGTCATTGCAAAGCGCATACTACTGAGCTCTCAGCAACACCTCACCTCTGTGGCAATCATGGCAATTATAACTCTTTATAGAAATTATAAAAGGGAAACTTACAAGTATTTAAAAATTATGAAGTTCGATGATTTGGGTGCTGCAAACATTATGAATAACTTAACATAAAATGTAGGCTTAACATTGTCATTGTTGTCCAATATAAAATGTGCTGATTAAAATGATTGAAAGATCCTGACTTCAAACAACCTTCGCGACACCTGCATCGCTCAAAACTTTTCTTCTTTTGGACCAAAATGGACGACGCCCCGATGGAGACTGCAGACAACAGACCGCAACAGGTATATGCATCTCCATGCTCATGTACGCTGCTACTTAACCGGTCCCCTCTCATTTTGCTAATGTTGTACTGCATGCAGGATCAGATGAATCGTCTTGAAGAGATGGCCACGTTTGTCAACAACCGTGTCTTTGAACTTGTAACAACGAAGATGCACGATGACGAAAAGGTTGTAACACCGAAAGATGTAGTGGATGCAGATGATATGAAGGCCTGTATGAACGCAAACACGGAGACAGTGATTGAGGCTGAACTTACGTGTATCGCTCATAAAATCTATCAAGAATGCAAGTACGCCGTTCAACTTGAAGTCGCGGTCAATATCGCAAAGGAGACAGCTGCTGATACTGTCGAAAAGTTTGAGCAGGAATTGCACCTTATTCCAAAATTGACGCCAGAAGAAATCGAACAGCTCGCAAAGGCTTTCACGCAGACTGAATACGTTGGCAGGGCCAGCCATGAATTTAAAGAATACGTGGAAAGGTGCTGGAAAATGCATTGTGAAAATTTAAAGCAATTCAAGGCGCCCTATGCAACGGTTGTCCAAAGCTCCGGGTTTGGCAAGAGTCGGATGGTATTCGAGCTTGCGCGCATGGCACTGGAACCCTCCTCGACACATAAAGTTATCTACGTGTGCGCACGCACACAAGACTCGTCTGGGTATCCAGTAGAAACGAGAAAGCTTCGAGAGTGGCTGTTTCCATTTGATTGCACTTCGTCATCGATTGCCAGTCGACTAAAAGTGATTTCTCAGTACGCAAAGAAAAATTGGGAGACCGTCCAAGAAGAATGGCTGAGACTTTTTACAAACCCTAATGCTGATGTCGACGTGTTTCCAAAGCTGAACGCTTTCGTGCCGAAAATATCTCCAGACAACACAACCAGCACATCAAATAATTCAAGTAAAAAAATAGTGGTTTTGGTGATTGATGAAGCAAGATCTTTGCTTGTTGAGACGAAAAACCCACTGAACCGCTTTCGCTTGTTGCGACGCGCGCTTCAAAGCGCCTTCACTGTGAATGGAGGTGTTTTTGGGCTGCTGATTGATACGAATTCAAAGATCTCTAACTTTTCACCGCCGCTGTCGGCTGACCCATCTGGTCGGGATGGCAAAGCAAACATTTTGGCATTATTTCCGCCTTTTGTGCTAACGCACACGATGGATTTGTTTTGGCAAAAACATTGTGACGAGCAAGCTGCTGATGAGATCAAAGACGATCCAATGTCGGGCTTGGAAGAAAAGAAGATGGGTGGAACGGCGGATAATAAAAGCAATGCAAGTGACGATACAGAAGAAATGGGTATTGATGTAACCGCGTACAAAAACGCTGTGACCGGGAGCGAGCAGGATGCTTGGAACGCGTTGAAACGAATGGGTCGGCCACTGTGGTACACCTACACCGAAGATTCAGATAGCCGATCTGCCGTGGTTTTGTTTGCTGCAAAAAAGCTTTTGCTTATGCAGGATCCCGGAAAAGACGGCTACAATGAAGAAAACATGTTTGGCGTCGCATCTTTGCTTTGTCGAGTGGGTTTGCGTCCGTACTCAACGTCACCATTTGCATCTAGAGCCGTCGCCGACTTAATGGCAATTCTTGCATATGTAAATTACGAAAAAGATGGCTATGTGAGCAGCTACGCCTCGGACCCGGTGCTCGCCTTGGGTGCAATCGAGGTATGGTATGGACAAAACAATGCGTTATCGCAATTTATCCTGCCTCAGCTAGCGAAATTAATTCTGAACGAAGTTCTTGACACTGGTGGAATTGGTGAGGTGGTCGCACGTATTGTGCTGCTTCTCGCTATGGACCAGTGCGTGCTAGGAAACGAAAAATACGAATGTTATACCGGCCATTTTATATCGGTGCGTTCATTCTTGAAAGTTCTTGGTGCAGACGAGATGCCAGTATATACGCGAAACATGGTTGAACCTCCTAGCGATACAAAGGAAGCTTACCGGACTTGGCTATCGAAAGTGGGATGGGTGGCAAATGGGATTTTCTCACTTTGTGCAACTGAAGATGGAGCCGACGGTGGCAACGTTATGGTATTTGCTTGGCCGTCGTGCTGCGGGAATATTTCCTCGGAACCAGAAAGGAGCCGATCTGTTGATTCCAATCTTTTGGAAAAAGGAAGACGGCGATGCATCTTTTGGATCAGAAATGAAATCGGACGATGACATAGACGCGAAGGTTTCATTCATTTTGATTCAAGTGAAGAACCGGGCTCCCCACGATAGTGAATTTCCGAAGTCAGCGACGACCAAGCTGTGCCCTTCATTTGTTTTTGGAAAAACGATTAGGAAGACTAACAAATCCTGTCAAACATCTGGACAACCCGCTGAGCAAGTTAAGTGTCCGTGACGTGATTTGTATCTATATGAACGTGCAAGACGAGGACAATAAGCATCACCGATTTATCTACGTGGAAAAGCCTGAAGATGAAAAGAAGAAAAGTGATAGTAGTGGATTGAAGTTGGCGGACACGTATAGCAAAATCAAGCAGAGCACTAGCAAGGAAGCAGCTGAGAAGCTCAGGTTTACGCTCTGTTATCGCTCGGTGTGTTGTGATACATACACTTTTTTTGATGCGGAAGTAGCCAAGAGATTGAAAAGTCTTGTGGAGACTTTGTGGGACCCTTTAGTGCTTGTGGATGGCGATTTGAAGCGTCGCCAAGAGGTGGAGCAATCTTTTAATAGCAAGCGTAAGGTACTTATGTCACAAGCGATGGGAGACGAAGAGCTAAGGAAGATTGCTTGTAAAGGGCTTGCGGATCCGCCAGGACGAAAAAAAGCTAGCGAGAGAGGACAGCCGCCCTTTTACGAGCAACATACACCAAGGCGACCAAAAAAGTGATTCGCCCTAAAAACCTACGTCGAGTGTAACGCTGGAGAAGGTAAACAGAGGTCGCATTCCTCTGATTATAGTGCGTTTGCGTTTTGCTTATGCGTTTGCTGCTGTCATGTTGTGGAGATGCAAATATTGGTAGGATTGGTCAGGTTTCGTCAGTAACCTACAAATTCCATGCTACATTTTAATTAAAAGTATAAGATACTTTATGCAACTCAACGGTTTAACAGCTATTTGAATTAGTACAAAGATGTTTTTTTTGTAACTCAATGCAAACGACTTAAAGCTAATTGGCAGAAAGCACGTTTTGGTAATAATGAAGATTAATTAGGAAATGACTGATGCTTTCATGTGAAAATTGGTAAATAGGGTTGAAATACCACATGAGAGTAACCACAAACCCCTTAGCTGCACTCCACTCTGCATTTACATCATATCCCATACAAAATCGATCGATTGGTGAAACCTACTAAGAAGCTGAGGGCACCGGTGGTACAATGGTACATTCACGGCAGCAGGTGCACTTTGAGTCTCCTCCAAAGTCTTGTCATTACTATCCGTAAGGCTGCGTGGGCTGCTACCGAGCGTTAGCGCCTTTGTAAATGAGATTGTCGCATTGACAGTGCTAACCGCAGACGCGCGTTGAACTTCCGCAGCTCTTGTAGTGCCGTAGTAAGCTGCACGTCTTTAACGACATCCGCTGCAATCCATTGATGGTATAGAAACTGCCGTGCTGACCATCGCTCCGCTGGTGCCAAATCAGCATCTTTCTAATAAGATTTTTGGCTTCTGCAGATATATCATCCCAATATGGCGAGTCGAATCCATACCGTCCCGCTTTAATGAGTCGAAAGAATGCGTTCTGGTTGTCATGATGGAATGGCGGATATCCACAGAGCAAAATGTACGTGATGACACCGCAACTAAAAATGTCCACTTGCTTACCGTATGGCTGTGCCATTAAAATTTTGGGTGCCACAGGCTGTGGATAACCCTGCATCTCGAGTCAGAATCGCTGTTTTCGTTGCAACCCCAAAGTCTACAAAATTACTATCTGCATTATCTCAGCACTGATCAGCAACACGTTTTCTGGTTTAAAATCTCGATGAACGACATTTGCATCATGACAGAATGCAATTGTTTCGAGCAATACTTTGACCAAATCACTTGCTTCTCTCTCTGTGTAAAAGGTCTTCTTGACAGTTCGTTCAAAGAGTTCTCCACCAGCCATAAACTCAATCACTCTAAAGAAATATTTTTCCACTTGAAACACATCATATAGCTTGACCATATGTGAATGTTGTATCTCTCTCAAGATTTTTACTTTGGCGACAAGAGATTTTACTCATCACACACCGTTCGTAAGCTTATCATTATGTTTTCCATGCAGGATGATTTAGCTGTAGCTGAATGTACTTACGAAGTTGCGACATCCTTGTCGCCAAAATAGACACAGTTCTCCCAACGGTGCACCATGCTGAGTTGAAGAAATGCTCGTCATTGCAGCACCTACATTGTCACTAAGCCTGCGACTGTATTCTTCATTTTCACCACCATCTTTATCTTGTTCGTTTTTGCCATCATTGAACAACTCGAACACAATCCGCCGAATCCCTCTAGGTCTGAGCCTTTCCACGAGGCAGCCGATACAAAGCTTGAAATGGCATTGCTAAGCACAAAAGTAACAGCTGCACGGGCGGCAGGGATGGACTCCGGAACGGTTGACAAGAGCTGTGTTTGAGCAGCCTCTCCGCATTGACCGGCACTTGGTGTGTTTAGTGCCTTAGATGGTGAAAATAGAAGTGGCATAGGAGGCGACAACTCGGATCCCATAATGTCCTTGTGCAACTCTCTAGAGTTGGAACAGACTTGCACAAGGATTGCAACTCGCTTGCTGAGCAGCAATCGCGGTTTCTCTGGTTTTCAGACGTCAGGCCTTGGAAACGCACGGTCAACATTCATAACGGTGCTAAAGAAAGATCCAGTGTTGAGTGCACCGCGTTGTCTACGTACATACCTTCACGCAGCTGTGGCCAGCTGATGTAAGATCCATTTTATCCAAAGGAGAAGTGGAGCTACCCAGCAATGGAATAGGGTGGTTTTCGCCAAAGAGCTTATTTCTGATTCGGGGACTTTGGTTATTAGTCTCAGTCAGCTGCTGGGGCTCCAATGATCTCCATGCTAGAAGATTCTCCGATATCGCTACTTCACGTGGATCATTCGTTCGATTCCATGAAAAGGCAAACGATGCTGATACTGTCATACTAATTGCAAGGTCCTCCGACTTATCTGTCTCAATACGACACTTTTCTTTCACGTGCGGCGACGACTGCAACTTGATTTTGAAAAAGTCGAGCAGACCGCTGATGTAGCTATGATTGAAGTTCAGTTCTGAAATAGATTCTGTTTCAAACGACATTGACACGTTGCCTGGGGCTTCAGGAACTGCTAATCCAATCCACGTGCCATGAGACGGCTCAAACACTGGTACAAACGCGGGAATCGTGCGAATTACAGTTGTTTAACGCCATGTTCAGCGCCGACAGCAGCATCCCTCTTTCGTTCTGATTAACTGAAATATCTGCCATGACGCCTTCATCCTGTCCATTGCAAGCGTCCTCCTCTTTTTTCACTCAGAGATGGTTTTCTTTCTATTGAGTTCCTTAAAAACCCTCTATTAACGTCTCCATCATTCTTAACACTAGTTTCTCTCGCATCTTCCTGCTGCTGCGTTTCCGTCCCATATCAAGACGACTTGCTAAGTAACAAAAACTCATCCAAACCAAACCAAACCATTTTTGAACGTTTTTAACGACTGTTGCCGATAGAATTGCGGCTTCACGTCTGCCTCAAAGGCCGACGCGGAGAGCGAGATACTCGTTCCTGTCTCCTTTTCCTTCTCAATCTCAGACATTTCAATCCCCCTCATTTCCCACAGATAGTCTTTACTGGCATCATCTACTGAAAGCATTGTCGGTGTAAAATACTCAAGCCCGTTTGCCATTTCTTGAGTTCCCAGTAGCGTTTTAAACGGAAGCATTAGGCTCTTCATTCTGCCGTGTGTCGTGGTGTCTGGCTACAAACAATGTCAGTGTATAGCCGTTACGCATCTTGGTTCCTGGCAATTGATGTTGCAGTTTCTTCACCCACACGGCGGCGTCTAAAGCTGCAGCTTGGCGCCGCTTTTGAGGTCGTAGCCGTTTTGCAAAAATGCCATTCAGCGTCTCGAGCGATGCATGGCCCTTGTTGTCCAGATGCCAGCCTATCAACGCCTGTTCTGTATCCGAGATATACTGCTCCAGGTCTGTTGCGTTTGAAAAGTCGACGAATCGGCTGCTCGGATCTTCCTCCACCTGCATTAATCGCGTTAAAGCCTGATCGTCAACTTTTGACCACATTATTCCTTCCGCTTGATCGCCTTTAAAATTTACTTCCATTTTATAGGTCTCTTCGACCGCAATTATGGGTTGACCTTCTTGATCGCTACACTCAATTCACATATATCCCCTCCTTCGTATGGGCAGCCACCTTGTAAACAACTACTCCACATCTCCGTTCCAATCGTCTTGACCCATTCCTTGGCTTCTTCATCACGTGACTACATCACTTTAATTTCGACTCACTCAATCGCGATCAAAATCTTGCAACAAATAGACACAACTTAAAGTCTGCTTTAGCTACCCATGGCAGCGCGCCATAACCCTTATAATGCACTTAATATCGTCGCTGGTTACAACCATAGCGCGTTCCGACAGGATCGCACATCGACAATCTGTTCCACTTCGAGCTCGGCGATACTACATTCGCCTTCCTAAGTGTCCTTTGGTAACATTGCTTCACCGCAATTTCCTTCCTCGATCACCATTATATTCTTAGGACGATTCGGAATTAGTTTTACGCGCTTTAGCTTCGAAACATGTAAAGCTGGGAATAATCGATATGGCATACGTACAATCTCTAGTTTCACAGCGTGATCTTCGCACCCAAATGGTCCATGCCATATATGTGCCAGCTTGCGAGCGTATCCTTCTTTAACGCGATCCAGATATTACCATACTTGCGATCGACTTTCGATAACACATTAATTCTTGATATGCATTATGCTGATCACCTCGGTCCTGGATCGCGGCCTTGAGGCGCTCATTCACCATGGCTCTAGCGCGTGTTCATACCGCTGGATATGATAGCTTCACTGCCGCGGGTCTCGGAAACGTTATTGGTGCTGCCAAGTGGTTATATACCTTGCACCGTAAATAGCGCATCTTATCCATGAATCAAATAGAATGGAGTATTACCACGAGCGCTGTGCTATGCGCGACAGTCAATCAATTTGCGTATTCATCCCAGTTCTTATGATTTACATCTGTGACATACATCTTTAACGTCCTTGTTAAGGTATGCAGCATTCGCTCGGCTGTTACATTTGCTTGGGGACGATACGCTATGTGGCTCGCTACTTCTCACCAGAGATTTGTTTGAAAGCTTGAAAGAATTTAGACATAAAACATGGCTACCTATCATGGCGTATAGCTTCACTCGCACCCAATCGAAAAAGTCACATTCATTATAGTTTTTTGCATTGTTTGCGACGTTTAAAGACGAACTTCCTTTGCCATGACATAGCCACAAAATGAATCAAGCTATAGCAGCAGCTCAGCTTTGCTCTTGAATGATCGAGGTAACGACAATATGTGATCCATGGCGATAATTTGGAATGGGTAAGTAGCCTGCAGACTTTTAGACGATTTGCCACGGATTGCAGAGCGCCCATTACTAGCTTTACAATCCACATATTCTCCCACGCAACGTTGCACGCTCCGATAAAGACCTCGCCAATGAAAATTAGTCTTGATCCGTTGGTACATTTTGCCAATTCCTTGATGACCACTTTCTAAACTAGTATGGTGTTGGTGTAGGAAGTCTTGTTGTAGTATTTCTGAAACCACTAAACTTATACATTCATTACGAATTTCAGCATTGACCGCCGATCGAGGGCAGAAATGCAGCAGACCACTATCCACTTCATAGTCAGCCATGATAAAGGCACTTATCTTTGCCTTTTCATCATCTAGATCCGTCGCATTTTCCGATGAGTTATGTTTATAGACTGGCGATCTAGCCTTCTTCATCTTGCGCTTCCTTTATGCGCTCGATCCGAATTTTCTGCTCGATCTCCTTCTTATAATTGTAGACTGTCGACGTTTCCTCACAGCTGATATGGTTATAGCTCACATGTTGCTATCAACCATTCATTTAATCGATTGATTGTAGTCAGTTTTGATAATCATGATCCGAAAAGTTTTTCTTCCTTGTTCCTGATAAAAACCTTCACTTGCCAGTTGATCTGCACTCTGGTCTTGCTCTCGCTTCATGTTTACGAGCTCGTGAATCGGCCACGATCGAAGTTTTCCCATAGCTTCATGAAGTAATAATTGCAATCTAGGTCCCTTGCAATCTTCCTCTTCCCCCGCATCTTCCGGATCACTAGATTCAAATCATTACATATACACCACTCTTCCGTTTGTCTCGCTCTCTAGGATTTGAAAATTTAAATGCAATCCTCAATATTCGGCTCCATTTACTATCAAATCTGTATCATACGTACAAGCTGCAGCCACGATCGTCCATTCATATAGCTTTCATACGATCACGCTATATGCTCCACATTTTTGCTTTATCCGATCCGATTCATCAAAATTGACCACCAAGAGACTTTCGTCCTGATCCCACGGTAGGCCGCGGCAAACTTATCGCATATTCCGGCTGTTTCTGCGCGGTAATCGCGATCCATATTTCATTTACTTTATCCTGAGGCGTTTTGCTCGCAGCCAAGGTATAGAGTATCTCATTATCCCCCTATCTACATTTGCTGATCAGTATAGTCAAAGTTGATAGCAGCGCGGCCTATACTTTTAGTCTTTCATTGAGACCGAAAGATTGCACCATCGACAGCCGAGCTACTGTAGCCAAACTACTTATACACTATGTCAGAGGAAGACAAATTTCAAGAGCTTATATGTCCTAGATTTTTTAACCCACTCCAACGCTAGCTTAACAAGCTTATGCCTTTGGTTGAAAGCACCGCGTCTCCAAGATAGTAGTACCAAAAAGAATATTACTATAAGGAATTGAACGCTCTAGCAACTAATGCTATCCAAAGCAGGTTTGAAACTAATTTATTTAATGTTATTCTTCTAGCACTAAATATTGAAGCACCTACTCTATACTTAGTGCTAGTCGCTTAACTGGCTCTTTAGCCTTTTATTATTATACAAACATGCATAGTCACTATACTTTAACTAAGTATAGCGACCATGTGGCTCTCTGCCACAATGAGAACCTACGTACTTCAGGTACGGTCACATCACCTACTTTTGTACCCAAGGTACAGTCACACCACATTGGTGTGGCAGGTGTGTATGTACAATATACACCTTAGTGTAACCTTGTTACACACTCTACCCACCAATCTTTGGGACCCGACGTACCACGAATATTTGCACTTAATTGGAGTCATCGATTTTGATTTTCTCCCATTTTACTTGCCTCGCGATAAGTGCCTGGCACTTGCGAACAAAGCTTCAGTGTTTTCAACACTTGCTTTTTGAGGACCTGTGCTTTGCACTCACGCTATCAAAGCATTCTAGTGGTAAGAAACTTGCTCTTAGAACATCCAGTGGTTGCAATCACGCTACAGTATATAATGTTACGTCACTTGCCTATAAGCGTTTAGTGCCTAGCACTAGTATAAATACCCTTTGTGTGTTCGCAAACACTTGCTTTTACGGCATTAAGTGCCTAGCACTTGCTTTTCAGCATTACAGTATTCTCAGCCCTTCTTTTATAGCACTTGTCCCTATTGCGCGTGTTGCAGTATGGATGCTGCAATGAGTCAAGAAATCTTTGGGGACGATTACAGTGACGTTGCTTCTAGGGGCAGCAGCGCCGAGCCTCCATTGGCAAACCCTACGCTCACCGAACGAGAGACGCCGAACCCGTTCGGTGCCATCTCCTGCAAGGGAACTAACTGCATCACGCCAACGCCACCGCTTTCCTCGCGAAAGGATACTGATGAAGATGTATTCAACACTCTGGACGCTTCACAGCGTCGTCAACTTGATGACGAGGCCCAGGCGGCCTCTTTGGCACGGCCCAATTAAGCCCTTTTCACGTCGTAATTATGGTTCCGTGCCTCGGGACCCAATGAGGAAGCTTGACGAGATGCATCGCAATTTTTGCAAACCTATGTCATTGGGTCTCATGCCCGTGCGGCTTGCAAGGATGCAGATCGTGCCGCGCTTCCTAAGCGGCTCTTTAATCCCCAGGAGATTACAATGAAATCGTATCAGGAGCGACTGATACGACAGTCACGTGGGGTGCCTTTGCACCCACTAAATGGCATACCAGTGGTGTAAACACCAGGTGAAACATCTGCACAAAATAACCACCAGTTCACCCGTTTAGCAGAGTGCTAGGAAACGTCCAACGACAGCTGTCGTCGCTTCTGACCGTCCTGGTCGAAAGCGTCAACGGCATCAGGGCGATCCTGCCTGAGGAGTACCTCATGTTCCCACGAGTCGTACGACTGGGGGTAACCCCTCCACTTCACCAAGTATTGGGTATGACCCATGTGACGGTGCCAAGCCAAGAGGCGTTCCACGTGGAACTGTTGATGACCCCGGTCATCAATCAGCGTTGGAAAAGGTCGATGATCCATTGACTTCTCATCTCTCTGAGATTGATCGTTGCCTAACACTCCTGGAGCGTGATGCCATTGCTTCGGTAATGTCTCACCAGTCATTGCTCGATGTCGGTGTCGATCGGCACCGTCGGTCCTTTAAGCGTTATCGCTTTGAGACCTCGGATCGCTTAGCGGCAATCGAGCGTTCTCAAGCCGAACCGCAATGTCCGATCGACCCCCTGTACGCCTTCAGCGTCCATATGCACCTCCGGTACAGTACTACCCGCCTCCTTCGGCCGGGGGTATGGAGGAAAACCCTCTCAAAGTCCACCGAGGCTGGGTTGAGATATGGCTTAAGCAAGCCCACGTAGAACATAGGGTGTGTTCGCATCTTCTTTGGCAGGTTCAGCGTATACGCTAAACCTTTCTTGCTTATGACCCTGAAAGGTCCAATAAAGAGTGGACGCAGTTTGGTTTTATATACCGCAGACACTGCGCGTGTCGGAAAATTCCTAGCGTTTAATAAAACCAAATGTCCCAGTTATTTTTGAACTCATGTTCGTTCTTCCTGCCTTTGGCATCCGCTTGTTCCTTCTTGAACATCCTGGCTTTCAGCCATAGCGTCTTTGACGCGACGTAATACGTCAAAACGCGTTGACAGAAACGCTTCCACCTTCTTGCGCATCGCAACAGGGCTGATATCAGCCAAGCCTTCGGCTATCTCTCCCCAACTAAGCCCTGACGTGGCAGGGGGTA